ACAGAGATTGAGAATAATAGGAAATTATACACAAATTGGGAGGCAATAAAGTCTATTTTTATAGGTATTATGCAGAATTATATAAAGAAGAGAAGAAGGGGAAAAGAACTCAAGTGTGAGTGGGTGAACAGAATAATATCAGCACAATCACAGAAGAACAGAAACAGATGTTAACTGCACCAATAACTGCAACAGATATCCTGGAAAGCATAAAAAAGATAAAAAGGGGAAAGGCTCTAGGCCCTGATGGATTTACAATGGCATATTATAAACAATGCAAAGAAGAATTAATCCCCTTTTTACAAAAAAATGTTGAGACACTACGGGAAGAAGGTATACCAAAAACATGGATTTCCGCAAATATAATACTGATACCAAAATGAGATAAAGACTAAAAAAACCAAACAAATTATAGACCAATTTCATTATTAAACTGTGATTACAAGATATTTACAACAATATTGGCAGAGAGAATGAAGAAATTTTAAAAAATAATAAATTTTGATCAGAATGTTTTCTGCCTGGAAGATCCATAAGAGAGAGCATATGAACAATAATGAATGCCATTGAATATTATGAAAGTCATAATGAGAAGAAAACTGCAATAATTTTTATCAATGTAGAAAAAGCATTCAGTAAAGTAATTTGGATGCTTATGAAAGAAGTAATGAGAAAAATGTATTTAGGTGAGCAATTTATAGGATGGGTTGCAGCAATTTATAGTAATCAAAAAGCACAAATTTCATTAATAATGAAGGGACATTAATTTCATTATTGATGAATGTGCAACACAGAAAAAGGGACAAGGCAATGGTGTCTCTTGTCACCATTATTATTAATTACAATACTAAATAGAGGCATCAGGGAAAACCCAAAAATTCAAGGTCTTAAAATAAAAGATCAGTATTACAAATTAAAAGTGTATGCAGATGACCTGGTATTAATAGTGGAAGACCCAATGAACAGCATAAAGAAGGCATTAAGGACATTATACGAATATGGAGAATTAGCAGGTTTCAATTGAACAGGAGAAAAACAACAATGTTGGCAAAAAACATGACAAGGATGGAAGAAATTACATTAAACCACAAAGCTGGATTCAAAATAGAAAATAAGGTAAAATATCTAGGCATCTATCTTACTAAAATAAATGCAGTCCTTTTTGAGAATAATTACAAGGAGACATGAAGAAAAATCAGAATGGGATTAGGAAAATGGACCAGATTACGATTATCAATATTGGGTCAAATAGCAATGGTGAAGATGACTTTGTTGCTGAAGATGATTTCCCTTTTTCAGAACCTCCCTATAATAATAAATGAGAGATGTTTTCAGGAATGGAGGAAAGACATAACAAAATTTATATTGGAGGGGGAGAGGAAACCAAGGATAAAATGGAAAATACTAACAGATGTGAGAGAAAGAGGAGGATTGGGGCTTCCAGATCTCAAAATTGACTATTATGCATCTGGATTAGTATGGATAAGAGAGTGGATCAACTTGGAAAAAGAAAGAACCCTAAAATTAGAAGAATATACTTAAAATTGGGATGGCATGGATTTATATGGTATAAGGTAAAAGAGAACAAAGAATTTGAAGATCACTATGTAAGAAGAGGGTTACTAAGAATCTGGTCGAGAATCAAGAAAAGCTTTTATAATAAAATTCTTTACTGGGTATCCCCACATGAGCATTTTTGGAAAGTGGAAAGCGAAAGAAGAACATTGGCTGAGATATGAAGACATCTTAATTAAGGGTGAACAGAATAATATCAAAATGAAACCGAGAGAAAAAATGGAAATAGGTGACCAGTAGATACAATGGTTTTTGCATAAACAACTGAAAGGTTTAAGATGGACTGGAAATTAGAGGGCTTAGAAGAAAGAAGTAACAAACTAGGTGAAGCACTCTATAACATAAAGGGAAAAGAAATATCAAAATTCAAATGTGTTTAAAAAGAAAACTGGAACAAGAACTTATAAAAGAGCCAATGATTAAATTGAGTCAATATGTGAAGCACACAATTGAATTAGAAAATTGGAAAAGAGCATGGAGAAAAATGCAAAAGTTTTCATTATGTCAAAGCTTAAAGGAGAATTACAATAAAATGTTATTCAGTCAGCCCTCCTTATCCAGGGATTTTTTATCTACGGATTCAAGTATCTATGGCTTGAAAATATATTTTTAAAAATTATAAATTCCAAATAGCAAACCTTGACTTTCCATTTTATATAAGGAACACCATTTTACTGCTGTGGGGGTGGTCCTGGAACTAAACCCCAGTGGATACCAATGACCCACTGTATTCTTGGCATCAATGACAGAAATATTAGGTATAAGACTACCAACAGAACCAGAATTCTACCTGCTGAATATGACACATATGATGGAGAGAAATCAGGAAAAAAGATACTGGAAAATCATATTATATATGACTACAACTGCAAGAATACTATATGCAAAAAATTGGAAATTGAAACAAACACCATAAGTCGATGATTGGTTAGAGAAGATGAAGGAGATGAAAGAACTGGATGTGCTATGAAGAAAAATCTGATAAGACACTATTTTAGAGAGAAAAAAGGCAGAGGAGGATTGGAATTTAATCAAAGATTACTGGAAACATAAATGGAAAGAAACAGATGGATAGAATTGGAAAAAGAAAGCGATGTGAAGAAGAAAAGACTGGTTAATGGAGATAGAAATTAAACTGAACAAAAATAGAATTTAGAAATGAGTAAAGAACACTCTAATAAAAATGTACATGTGTTAAACAGAGGATATGGAAGAAAGTTTAATTTAAAAAGAGTTAATACAAAACACCAAAATAAGTAAACAAAGGGGGTAGGGGTCCAAAAGTGTTAGGAAGGAAGTAGATCATGGACTAAAATGCTTAGTTCTTTATATTTACAAAGAGAAAAGAAGAAATATGACAAATACTAAAAAACTGTGTACATATATAGACATGTAAAAATCAAAATATGCTTGATCTGGGGATAATAGATGTAAAACACACACACACACAAAACTACAAATCCTAGGATTCCATAGCATTAAGCCATGGCAGTTAAAGTGGGGCAAACTTAATTAATTCTGCAGTGTAGATGCAGCCCTAGAGATCCCATCCTTACCACTGAATCTTCTAGCCATGTGAAATACAACAGACAAGTCAGGGGCACCAAGCGTGGCTTGGCATCACAGGAGAAGCATAGTTTTAAAATACTATTTTGTGGTGCAGGACTCACCTTAAGTGCTGGAAATTTCAGTTCAGAGGAGGAAGGGCCTGTGAAGAAGCAACAAAGCAAAGAAAACGCAAGGAAGCGACAAAGCAAACACAAATGTCCAGGTTGTTAGAGGTGTGGGATCCTACAATGGAGCGCTGATTAAATAGATTTTCTTGCTGGGATCTTATAAAGGAGTATTTAGCAACTATTCAACCCCCTGGCAGTGGAAGTGGCAAATATGTTGGAGAAACTTGTTGGGTTGAGTAGGACTGTTGCAGAACAGTAAATGTGGTCAGAGGTCTTAATCTAAAACGCCCATAGAAATCTGGCTTGCCCCAAATTTGCAATTCTATATGAGAACAGAAATCAACATCTGAATTTCCGCATAAGAAGGACTGGTGGGAACAAGGAAAGGAAAGGCATGGTGGAAATGATTGGGAAGTGATTTGGGAGTTATTCAGATGTTGTTTTTGTTAGCGCGATTACCGGTATATGTGAATAATCTCACTCATGCATTCACACTATTTGTTAAAAACCAGAACTGCATCTATGCACATCTCTGCATGTTCTGTTGCTCACACATGTCCGCATTGTGAATAAAGATGGTGTTGATGATGTGGATGTATTCAAAACACGTTCAAGGCATGCAGAGTTTTATGCCAGTTTATCCTGGGTCTATTTGCATCAGTTATTTACACAGATGCCAATGCGAATCTTTTAGGAAAACTTGGAAAAAACTCCAAGATGGATTATCCTGGGTTAAGTGAGTTTTTTGGCAACCCTCCACAACTTAATCGGATGAATTCGAAATGCATATGAATAACAAAGATTCAACCCACATTCTACCGGGATTATTTTCACATCTGAATAACCTCTTGCTTTTCTTCTACTAGATACTGGAAGCAGTCACCTCTTTTGTCTCTTCTTCATCCTCCTCTTCCTCTTTTTCATCATCTTTTTCATCATCTTCTCCTCCCTCTCTTCATCTTTATTTATATTATGTTGTTGCTTTTGTGTGCCTCCAAGTCATTTTTGACTTATAGCGACTCATAGAGTTTGCTTGGCAACTTTCTTTAGAGATGATTTGCCATTGCCATCCTCTGAGGCTGAGACAGTGTGACTTGCCCAAGGTCTCCCAGTGGGTTTTTCTGCTTGAACAGGGATTTGAACCCTGGTCTCCAATAATCAAACCTCTACACCATGCTGGCCCTTTATTATATTATAGAACAAATCAAGTCTGAACTCTCCCTAGAAGTCAACTAGACAACTGAGATTGTCCTACTTTGGACATATCATGAGAAGACATATCTCACTAGAAAAGATGATAATGCTTGGAAAGGTTGACAGCAGAAGGAAAAGAAGAAGACCACGTTCCAGATGGATAGACTTAATAAAGGAAGCCCCGGCTGCCCTGAGTTTGCAAGACCTGAGCAGGGCTGTTGATAATCAGATGACATGGAGGTCTCTCATTCATGGGGTCTGTATAAGTCGAAGTCAATTTGATGGCAGTTAACAACAAGAAATATTATATTGTGTTTATATTTATATGATCATTAACTTTATTTATGAATATATATATATATATATATATATATATATATATATATATATATATATATATTTTGTTGTTGTTGTGGCCCTCAACCCATTTCCAACCTATGACAACCCTAAGGCCATGGGGTTTTCTTGGCAAGATTTGTTCAGAGAAGGTTTGCCATGGCCTTCCTCACAGGCTGAGAGAGTGTGACTTGCCCAAGGTCTCCCAGTGAGTTTCCATGGCCAAGCTGGGATTTGAATCCTGATCTCCAGAGTCATAGTCCAACACTCAAACCACTACACCACTCTGGCTCCTATATTATTATGATATTATGATATGATATGATATGATATGATATGATATTATCAACAACAATAATAACTTTATTGATATCCTGCCTTTTCCCAAGATTGTTACTCAAGATGGTTTATGCATTAACATGATTGCTGTGCAGAGGGGCGGGTTATAAATAAAATTTATTATTATTATTATTATTATTATTATTATTATTATTATTATTATTACATCATTAAAAACATACAAAAAGTCAATGTTAAACTACAGTTAAGCTGTTAACCATATTAAAACAATTGAAAAACTTTACCAAGATAAAAATAACTTATTTAGTAAAATTTAAAACAAGACAACATCCTCTCCACTATAGCAGGATTTACAGGATCGCTGATGTAAAAGGGAAGATTTTGCACAATTTGTACTGGGGAGCTATGCTAAGAAGGCAAGCCTAGCTGGAGTGGGAATTATGCATCCCTCCAGATTGGGGTTGGACTGCAACTCCCAGCAGATCTAGCCAACAAAACCAAGGGCAAAGAATGCTGGGAATTGCAGTCCAGACACATCTGGTGGGATGCATAGGTCCACCCAGTTATACAGAGGTAATCAGGGAGGCAGAGAGATAAACTACAGAGCAGGATTTCCCTTTCATTTAAGAATGCATCAGGATGGGAACAATGGCTGGATTTGCACTGCAGAAATAATCCAGTTTGGCACCACTCTAACTGCCATGGCTCCATGGTATGGAATTCTGGGAACTGTACAGTTGCCCCTCCGTTTTAGCGGACTTGAAATCCACAGTCTTGATTACTCATGGAGGGGCGATCCCCATTGGCTAAAATGGTGTGTGTGCACAGGGCCGTGTACAGGAGCGTGCACCCATTCAAAGTGGCTTCCATTGAGTCCCAATCAAATTTAAACCACATTTAATAAAATTTCTAAAAATTCACCAAATACAAAACCTAAAGACAATTAAACAATCAGACAAAATTAAAGAAAGAACTTTTACTCCTTATTCAGTTTACTGCTTGAGACTGTTTTGAACTTTTGCACAAACAATGTATTGGCAACTGGGAACTTTCAGCCTTGTAGGGTCCCATAGGAATGCTCTGTTCAAGACAAGGGAGATCAAGAGGCATGAATATCCATATCAATGGCAATTGCCTGGGCCTTGGGAAAAAGTAGAAGGAGGCCAGACAATCCTACTGGATGCATAGATAAACAGAATTTTTGATGTTGATTGGGATTGCCCTTATGGAGACCGGGTTTCTTTACGTAAATCTCCATCTTCTTTTAAAACACTCCAGCCATTGTGTTGGTCACTCCCTGCTAGTCAGATCCTTAATATTTATCTATCGCAATACCCAGAATACATGTTAAATCTCTCTTATCTGAAATGCTTGGGACCAGAAGTCCTTGGGCTTTCTGATTTTTTTGGAATTTGCAATACTTGCATTTGTATATATGTACTTCATGAGATATCTTGGAGATGGGAACCCATGTTTCATATACACACAGCCTGAAGGTCATTTTATACAATGTTTTTATTAATTTTGTGCATGAAACAAGATTCGTGTACATAGCACCATCAGAAAGCTCAAGTGTCATTCTCTCAGCCACCCATGAAAAACATTGTGGAATATTTCAAATGTCCAGGTAAAGGAAATTCACCTTTTATAGCCCTTTTGATGATAAGGGCTAGATTCCGGTTATTGTATTTTGTTGGGTTATGGTCCGTTTCAGAGGTGCAGAAAGGGGCAGGAATGGGGTATAGATCTGTCCTTCCAGAATATTCTGGAGCATTGGTGGTCCAACTATATTCTAAGAACTGGTTAAGCATAAACCACAAGTTTTTTGGGTTTTTTTAGAGGAAGACAGTAGGAGAAGAATCTGTAGATGCGGTTTCTCAAACTTGCTCCACTGCTTGGCTCCATGTCAGAGTTTGCAGATATTTCATTGAATTCTGGTATAACTTTTTCAGTGTCAGACAATAGCGTTGGGTCCAGATTCCACGGTCTTAGGGGGGTTGCAGACTGCCAGAAATAGTGAAAATTGAGTCCACTTTTAGGGTTAGGGTTAGTGCTAGGGAATCATGGGAATTGTTTTTTTCTGGGACATTGAGCCTTCTCTGTCAGAGAGCTCTGGTGCTATGATAAACTACAGTCCCCATGATTCCCTAACCCTAACCCTAACCCTAAAAGTGGACTCAATTTGCACTATTTCTGGCAGTCTGCAACCCCCCTAAGATTCTTCAACCCTATTCATAATGTGTCTCTCTAAGCTCAGCTTTATACCATGAAAGGGAACAGATTGTGGTTGGAACCTGCACCAGATCTGGCTCAAACAACCATGCAGACATTTTCTTGTGAGACTGAGGAGTATCCCTGATCCAGATTGTGCTTTAGGGTGTATCTGCACTGCAGTTGTATCAGTTTGATCCCATTTTAATCACCATGGCACCATCCTACCAAACACTGGGGTCTATTGTTAGGCCTGACTGGAGTAAGGCCCCTGAATTGGTTAGATCTGCATATGTGTTCATTCACTACTCTGTATGTATTGAATGGGTCTACTCTAACTGGGACCCACCAACAGGATTTCAGCCTTGGATTTGTAGGTTGGTGAGATATTTAGAATTCTCTGTGCACCAAAGGAGAGAGCTGTTCAGCTCTTGGATTGCAAGTCCCATCATCAGGTTAGCTGATGATAATAAATGTGTAGAATCAGAGCTGGAAGAGACCACAAGGACCATCCAGTCCAACCCAATTGTGAGTCTTACAATCCAAGAACCAGGTGACCACCTTCCCACATCTGATGTACACATATACTAGAGCTCTTTGGCAAATAATTTGAAGTACCTTCCCAAACTATATATCCTAGGCAATGTGAGGAACACAAACATGCATCTGAGAAAGTAGACTCAAGTGTATGAAAGCTCATGTTGCCAACTTCTTTCTTTCAGTTAAGTCTCAAAGGTGCTACAAGATACCTTTTGCATACTGGTTTTCCAGACTAAAATGGTTATATCTTTGAATTCTACACACTCCAGGATGCAGAAGCATTACTCTCAGATGGGAATTTAATGCAGAGGTGTTGGGTGCTTCCAACCGGCATATTGAGCTTGCATCCAATGCTGCCAGTGTGGTGTAATGACTTGAATGTTGAGCCACAACTCCGAGAGGTAAGGGTTTGAATCACTGCTGGGGCAAGTCACACTCTCTCAACTTCAGAATAAAGCAACGGCAAACCTCCAAAGAAGGCATGACTCATTAGAAAAGGCATTAATGCTAGGAAAGGTAGAAGGCAGTAGAAACAGAGGAAGATCACACACCAGATGGATAGACTCAGTTGGTGAGGTCATGGGCCTGAATCTACAAGACCTAAGCAGAATAGGGCAAGACAGAGGGGCTTAGAGATGTCTCATACACAGGGTTGCCATGAACTGTGGTCATAGAAAATAGGGTTGGAAGAGACCACAAGGGCCATTCTGTCCAATGCCCTTCTCCCATGCAGGAACTCACAAGCAAAGCACCCCCCAAGAGATGGCCATTAAGCCTCTTTTTAAAAACCTCCAAAGAAGGAGACTCCACCATTCTCTAAAGCAGTGCATTTCATTATTGAATAGTTCTTACTGCATCCATTGCTCCAAGCCCTATTCTCTGGAGCAGCAGAAAACAAGTTTGCTCCATCCTCAATGTGACACCCCTTCAAGTGCTTAAACAGGGCTATCATATCACGACTTATGCTGCAGAAAAAGAGATCCCACCTAAATATTAGGAGGAATCTACTGACAGTAAAAGGTGTTCGAGTGGAACATACTCCCTTGGAGTGTGGTGGAGTCTCCTTCTTTGGGTTTTTGTTTTTTTTTAAGGCTGGATGGCCATCGGTTGGGGGTGCTTTAATCGTGTGTTCCTGCATGACAGAATGGTGTTGGACTGGATGGTCCTTGGAGTCTCTTCCAACTCTATGACCTCAATTCATGGCAACCCTGTGTATGAGACCATAGGATCTGCCATGAGTTGGAAAAGACCTGAAGGCACACTCTGGCCTCCTTCCCACTATGATTTAAAGCAAATTGCTGATCGGGTTATATATTTGTTGTTCCCACTTGAAACTGGTTCTGATCCTATTGAGCTTGGTTGCAATCGCGATGAAGTGAGGTCAACGCAGAAAACCCACTGTTTCCTGACACTAGTTTTTTGGCAGTTCTTTTGAAAAGAATCAATTCCAAAGCATGTTCAACAAGTGGGAATGAAGGACCTGAATTATATCATTCTGGAGGGGAGAGACTAATGACAGAGGGGTGTTTACCATCCCTCCACAGTTTTTCAGAAATCAACCATTTCGCCGCCCCCCCCCCCGCATTGCCTTTGTGCTTGTGGTGTGACCTATGGGCGCATTATATGTGTACATGTGTGTGTATATTAAATTGACAGAATATACGATCCATTATATTTGCATCTACTTGCAATTATGGGCAGACTGCAGCTCAGTGAGACAAGTAGTTGCAAAACCAATGGATCACATATTCTGTCAATTTTTAATATATATATTACGAAGCCGGGCTGCTCAAAGGGGAAATGTTGTGCTTGAGCAGCCTGGGTTGCGGAGGGGCAGAGGAAGGCTCAGTTGCTAAAGTCGTCCCACTTGGCATCTGGAATGGCCCCGTCCTCACCGTGTTGCCACTTGTGTCACCGATGACGCACAGATGATTGACATGCGTTTTGAAGCGGCGCAAACTAGTGGGATCGACAATTGTGCCAAAGAAGAAGCAATTACAGGGAATAATAAAAAGATCTGCTTTCATAGTGGGAACGACAACCTTTTGGAACCGATTCACTGACACAGAGCAAAGGTGAATAGCAAACCAGTTTAAATGCAAGTGGGACTGAGCCCATAGAAACCATCCTTCCAAAAACATGTGTTGTGTGAAACGCAAACACCAGAGGGCGCCACATGCTCAGGAGATTTTTAGCAGGGAGAGAGAGAGAGAGATCTTAACTCAGAGGCAAAGCACATT